TAAACATAGCTGAACTGAATTAGCATTGTCTCTTGGAGTTCCTTGGGCTAGGCCTGACACTTAATTACATTTCCTACAATTCTTAACATGATCAAATACAATGAATATCATACAGTAGGTTTGATGGGTCATGTTTTAAAAATATTTCTTAAAATAATAATACAATAGGATTATTGGAAACATGTAGCTGTGAACCCAGTTTAGACTCAGGAATGGATCTGGTACCAGAGATGCCCTTTTTAATATTAAAAAAACTAGTAGAACATTGTAAAGATATGAAAGTGGATATTTGCCCATGTATCATTGACTATGAAAAGAAATCATTGAGTGGAACAAGGCAAATTGTGAGATATATTGAAAACTATAAGGTTGCATATGCATTACTATGAATTTATACTGGAAGCAAATTGGAAGTATTAAAGTAAAAAGAAAATCAACAAAACAATTTCAGATATTACATGGAGTATGACTAAAATGTGCATTATCACCCTTGCCATTTAATAAGCATTTTGAAGGTCCTTACAAATAATCTTTAAAAGAATGTTATGAGTTATAAATATTACTGGGACAATAATAAATTATGTCATGCAAGTAAATCTTAGGGGATGGATGGATGGATGGATGGATGGATGGATGGATGGATGGATGGACGCTTTTTGAAAAATAAACTTCTTTGTTGTTAGTACTTAAAGCTGGAACTTCGTTGGCAGATTATATGCTGTATGTGTTTTGTATGAAGTAGATGCATGGACAGTGACTCAAATGACAGTTAAGAGAATAGAAGCCTTTTCAATGTGGACTTTATATTATTACTTAAAATATCATGGATTGAACATATACAGAATGAGATTGCACTTCAGAGAATAGGCAAAGGTAGAGAAATTGTGAATACTATCAAGAGAAGGGAATATCAATATTTAGGACATGTGACACAATGAGATATAACTAATAATACAAGGAAAGATTCAATAGAAATACAGAGCTGGAAGGTGATGCATATCCTGGCTAAAAAATCTATGTACTATATTTGACAAAAATAAAATGTCCTTGTTTTGGACAATAACATTAAAAGAACAAATGGCATTGATAGTTTCCAACGTCCAGTAGGAGAAGTCACTAAAAAAGAGAGAGAGTGAGAGAAAGAGAGAGATAAATTTTTGGGGGCAATTTATTTCCAGTGCCTGGTGGATCTCTCTTTTTTGCAACCACAACTCTGTTTTAGCAGAGGATCTTCTCTGGATGGTTATCCTGTTGAATAATATAAGAGGTGCATTAAATTTTTGCCCGAGTATTTTTGGAAGTTTATAATGAAGCCTTTTTAAACTCTGTTTTTCTATGTAACTCTTCTCTGATTTTGAAGCCTGGTAAAAACCTTTCTGACTCTACAAGATACCATTTGATTCCTTTGATAAAACATTGAGATAAAATACTAACAACAACACTGATGTGTAGACTATGGGATATTCAGAAAAATTGCAGTCAGAAGTAGTAGTCTTATTGAATGTGAAAAAGACCATTAATATGGTACCATAGACATTTTTGAAGCATGTTTTGGTAGGATATGGATTGCCTCTATATTTTTAATTAAACGGGTCAACATATGGTTTCTATTTCTTCTGCTAGGAGTATTACAAAGGAAATTAATTCATCCATTAAAATATCAAGGAGAAATCCATTACAATATCATGCAGAAATATCCTTACTTTGGCTTTAGAATTTTTAGGCAAATGGAAGACATTTTGGATGTAACCGTGGCTGGAATTGAGCATAAAACATTATGATAATATAGTCTATCTAATTGATAATTACTGTATGTGCAGCTTGAAACAAAAAATGTCATTGTTCTGTATTTAGACTAAACACCTTGTGGCTTAGAAGAACAACCAGAACATTCTGGACAGGTCATGATCCAAACTGAAGTCATTTAGGTTCATCTGGAATCTGGCCAAGACAAATCTGGAGAGGTCATAAGGGGCAAATTATGGCAAGGCTGGTATGTCTTGTCCTCTCTCCCTTCTGTCCACTTCCCATTCTTCCCAACATATTATTTCCTCTTAATCTCCCCTTAGCCACTGTCACTCTTGAATTCAAGTGTAGCACACCTGCCAAGCCCACCCAGGCCCATCCAGCATTTCATGTTTTTTCTTTACCTGTTGCTGCTGCCCTGCCTGTACTAACCCCTCCCACCAGCCCTATCTCTCCACTACCACATACCACTGTCCTTCCTTTTTCTCACTAACTCCCATCCTTGAAGACTTTTGCCAAAGTACACATGCTTTAGATTCAGGTATGGACCAAACATGCATGCTCTAGTTCCATGCATAAATAAATTGTGTATGGTTTGGCCTGCTCAGAGACTGATGCATACATAGAACACTCTGTGCACTGAATGTTTTGCACATCCCTAGTTATACAGTATTGCCTCATTTAGATAGCTGGGTTGGTCTTTATCCATATTATTACTAGATACAGCAAACACTAAAAATGTTTCTACATAACTGTTTACATATGCTGGCTAACCTTGGCAAATAGAATAGGAATTCTTGAGTCTAAATGATACTGCAATGGAAGTGAGTAGGTGCTCTTTTGCAACATTTAAGAACCCAAAATGTCTGCTTTGCTTTGAAGGATTTATTTGGGAAATATAGTTGCTGTGATAAATACATTTTATACTTTGATCATTTAAAAAAAAATCTTATTACATGTGGCACGCATGTAATGTCTATTACATAATAGTACAAATTATACCATAATTATAACAAAATTATTTATAACAAAATTATTTATAAATAAAACTGAAAGCAACTTTTGGTTGTATGGAGACAAATGAAATATCAGAGTTAACATATGGAATAAGTAGATTTCCCAATATTCTAGCGGCAGTGTATAATTTGTAATAAGGAGGAGTACAGAGAATTAAGTAGGCCTTCTCAGTTTTTGGTTTGGGATGACTTTTCCCTTGGTGCTGACATTATCATTATTTTTTACCAAGTTAATACCTGGCTATTTATTCTAGTGGTGTGTTTAGTTGATTGTAAAATAGAATGGGTTTTCTTTGTTTGTTTCATACTATATGAGTTTTTTAAAAAAATTATTATTTTATTTCTTGGCTGTGGTATGCTTAAAGTGTGTATCTAAAGCACATTTTTATCCATGAAGGATGTACTGATTTACCTTCCTGAATACTTCTGGTTTTTATATACTTTACATTTTTTCTATATTGATTTGTCTTATGGTTAGTATTTATATTGATCTGCATAATTTTACTTTTAATATGAATTTATGGAGATGAGGAATTATATGCCACTCAGTTGGCTTTGACTGGAACAGCTTATAAGCATTGTCAATAAATAAACAAATAATCACATAGAATAAGGTCATTAACTATCAGCAATGTCTTTTCGGATAGTGCTCTTCGAGGGCTGCAGAGAAGTATAAAAAGTTCACAATTGTTCTCAAGTATTCTTAAATTCTGAGTATAGTTAGTAAGGGTGTATAAGCCATCCCTTTCTCCCTACATCCATGCATTTTACTCGTCCTTTTATCCCTTCTTCTCTCTGGTCTTGTTATGAGATCTGAAGGAGGCTTGTTCTCACATTCACTGAATGCAAATACTATGCTTTATCTGGAATGGAGCCTTGATAAAGTGTGGAGAGCTATATTGTTATTCAGGTAAACACAAATCTACTTCCTTTTTCTTTTTTTCTCAGAATGAGCTCAGGGAAATGTAGGAGAAGATGGGATGTGGGGATGTTGAAGACAGGGTCACCATATATCCAGTACACAGTTTAGCTTTCAGATATTCATTAAAATGCATGAAGAAGGCTGTACTCTGAACTATTTGTAGTCTTCTGGTTTATTGAGATTTCAGTAGGAATTACTGAAAACTAAGCTAGATTGTAGTTGCACCTGAATTCTGTTACCTATTTGGCTACCTTTTTATTCATATCCAAGCAGCTGAAGAATACTGAATATGCTTCACAATTTTGTCTTAGCAATTTTAATACTTGTCTTCTGCTAGCCAGTACTTTTTGGAAATGAAGTTGCAATAATTACCATCAACAATTTCATTCTATGGTTGAATTTATAAAGCAGAATACTGTATATTTTATTTTTTCAGAGGAGTGTTATTCTAATTGTGTGGTAGCAACGTTTCAAAGTACAAATTTGGAATCATGTATAATCTGTATTTTTCTCTACTAACTTTCATAGGGTACTTTTCCACATGGAATTGACATTGTAACTACAGCTGATTATTTTGCTGTTGGTAACAGAGCTAATTGTTTTCTTAATATAAGGTAAGAATAACTTAAATGTAAAGCAAACGCAGAAACATAAAAGTGTTGTTCTTTAAAATTTATCTTCATGCTTCTACTTGTGGCCATGTTAATTTATAACGCTGGGAGAAGATGAGCATGGTTCTACAGTACTCTTTGTTGAGTGAACTGTGAAATGCTAGCATTTTATCGTTTTTAGATTAGAACAGTCTAATCAGAAGAAATTTCAGAGTCCACATAATCAAATTCTTGATTTAGAAGAAAGACTGGGTATAAGAGAAGATCTATCTGTTAGGCAGGATTTCATGGTAGTGAGGTCATGAGGTAGTAAGTTATCTTTGCTAGCATTGAAGTATGTCATATCCAAAGGCTCAGGAGCCCAACAGGAATCTGATGTAGACTGAATGTGAACAAACCCTAATTCAAAAGAGACCCTCTACACCCCTTTTATGACTTTCCAGCCTGAGAATGTAAGCCTCAGATTATCTGAATGCTCAGATTCAAATATTTTCTTAGTTTTTACTGTTTCCCAGACATGCAAATGTTTCATACTTCAGAAAGGGCCAGGGACTTTTAAACTACAGCAAACAAGGGGAGCTAAGAAATTCAGCCTTCTTAAGACCTCTGTTGTGCACAGGCAAGTGCTTAAAGAACGCCAAAATGTCCCTTAAAACTCACTGCTCAAAGCAACACTTTGTTTTGGCAGTACACATAACAGAAGTGTTGTCTGTACATGTACCTACATGCTCAGACAGCATGGAGAAGCTCTTGAAATATCCGCACTGCATTTCTGAGAGGATGCGGTGCTTGGACACTTCAAGCTCTAGTTTAGATGGCCCTTCACAGAGCAACTGTCTTTACAGTTCTTAAAGTGTTGTGTTCTGACAGAGCTCAGATCTGCCTCTAGCACTCATTATGAGTATCTGTCCTTATCCAGCTTTCCTGCCTTTTCTGACTGGATTGAGACAGAATGCAGCCTTTAGTTTTGACTGTTTCCATAGTTGGGAGAGAGGATGATTTAATATAGCTCTTTTCTGGAAATATTTAAATGTTACACGTCAGATTTTTTTTTTCTGACATAGCAGAGTATTCAAAACTATAATACCATACTCTGAAATGATTTGGCCAAACTCTTACCAATTCAGCCTGTGTAACTATAGATCAGGTCTAAACCAAAATGTACCCTGACCATCAGGTTGAATTCTCAAATCTGTGGAATAAAATCCACATAGCCACTTGAATATGAGTGGACTAATGGTGAGGTGAATGATCCTGGTTGAAGATTTTGCAAGCTTCTGTTTTGTGGGAGGACCCATGTCCAAGAAAGGAGGCCTTTAGGAAAGAAGATCTCTCTGTTCTAGGTAGGTGGCACATTCTTCATAAATATAGTCTGACTTCTTGCCTGGGCTTTGTGAGAACTCCTGCTTTAGGAAGAAAGTATCTTAACATATTAAAAAGTTGAAGAGTGTGCTCTCTTATTTCTGTTACATAGGTCCTAAGTTACAGTATTTCTGATCCTTTAATCTGTAAGGATTAACACTTTTCCATGGTACTCCACCCTTCTTTCCTACACCTTCTTCCTACACACAGCCAGTTTCTCAACTCCTTTTTCCGTGGCTAAAGAAAAACAAGAGAATGCCAGTGGGGCAGGCGGCAGTTCTTTCCAGTTTTTCTTAAACTGCTGGCTAAGAATAATGATAATTATGGGTTATTTAATATGACCTGAAATACAAAGTTTCCATTCTTTGGAAAAGGTGATGATCAGATTTGATAGTAATATGCTCAAAGATTTGATGGTAACCCTCATGATTCTTACTGATTGCTGACTTAGAGGCTTGGCCTTCTGTAGGATTGACAAATTCTTTTAGGATGGCTTTTTAAGTGATGCACACATAAATGAAAAGGTCTGACTCCATGATAGGGGATTTTTATTAAGGAATTTCCTGGCTTTTTTCCTTTTACTCTGTTCTCTCCCCAGTCTTCCTCAATGCATTCCTTCCTCTTTTGGAAGGAATAGAAAAATTTGGGACCTTTGGGTTCTAGTTTTCCACAGGGGCTCTTCCATCTTCCTTAATGCTGGCCTGTTTGCCAGTGTTTTAGGGCTCTGCTTTTCAGACCCCAGCATGATTCAAGGTTACAGACTGCTTGTCCAGAGACATGGCTGTAATTATTCCCTTTCCTTTTGCTGTTTGGGGTTGGCCATTGGTCTCCTTTGGTTGGCCAAGGTTGCTTTGCTTTGTGCCAGGAACTATAACTGACCTTGGTTACTGGTGGCTGCTTCTGCATGTCTGTTTATCCAGGTGAGCTGCTCTTCTGCTCGTTCAAACAGCTGTTTTCAACTTTCTTTTTCCAAATCGTAGCATATACGATATGAGAAAAGACAACGAGGGAGGTATGCCAGCAGTCTTCAAATACTTGAAAGGATGTCATGTAAAAAGGTCAAGGCCTATTATCTCCTGTTTTAGAGTAAATGATACAAAATAACAGATTTAAGTTACAGGAAGGAAGATTCCAGTTGATTGTTAAAAAAGAACTTCCTAACAGGAAGTTAAGAGTAATTTGTTAGTAGAACTAATTACGCAGAGAATGGAAGCTTCCCCTTCACCTGGTGTGTTCATCTCTCTGAGATGCTTTAATTAGGGTTTCTATATTCAGCAGGAATTGATGGCCTAAATGGTCTCTTTGAACTTTATAGTTCTATCCTATGATTTTGTGCATATAGCACTAATCAAAGAATTGAAGAAGAGAAAGGTCAGGAATCAACAGTTAATTCTAAAGTTGTTTTATTTGCTTCTAAAGTTAATTTTATATATGGATTTAAGGCAGCATCTATTAATTCTTATGGTTGGAGGAATGGTACTGTCTCAGTCAACTGGTAATCCAGTGACAACTCAGTTTGTATCCAATACTGAATATTATTTGTTTTCCTAATGCTGTGAATTCTTAGTTGGAAAGTAGAGTTGATATATGTAAGCTTCTCTGTTTTGGTTCATGCTGCACAGTTACCCTAATTCTGCATTTTTATAATTTATTTATATTTATTTATACATCACATTTATATAGCCGCCCATGTCACAAAGTGACTCTGGGTGGCATACAACAATTAAAATAAAATACCAAATAAATAAAAACAGGCATTACCTGTTATTATTCTGTTATTATCAGAATAAAAGTTCTTATCAGAATAAGATAAAAAGTTATTATCAGAATAAAAATGTAATCACAAATAATGTATAAGTAAAAAAAATGCCACAGATGAAACTAATGGGCAATGGAATTTGATGTGCTTGAAAGAAAAATAGGATTTTAAGAAGCAACTTCATTTTAACTGCAGTTATTCTAGCAAACAACAGTAAGGAAAAGGTACTGCAATAATTTATGTCCCATTTAATCTTGTGCAGAAGATCACAGTTATATGTTTTTAAACTAGATTTGAGTGTTCATAATCATTGCTCCTAAATATTTAAATCTCCCTAGACTAATATTGTATAACTTAAAATCCTATAAGTTAAAAACCTGTAAATTCTTGAAGCTGCTTCTATGATTTTATCAATAGCAGAAAATTTATCAAATTTTATTTCTAAACCTGCTACTGGATAAAATTTAGATATGTAATCAAATTTCAATTGACATGCATCTCTCTGGATTTTAAGAAAACATGAATTTATAATCTGCAATAATTGATTACAAAATATTCTGTTTTCTATATTTTGAATAGTTTTTATAATCTATAATAGAACAAAATTGGTTAGAGAGGGCATTCTTGTGAAATACATGGATGTCTAATCTACTGATTCTAATCACTACTTGAGCTCGTAAATATAACTGATTTAATTATAAAGACGAACATGTGTCTTATCTTGATAGCAGTATACCCTCTTATGAATCACAAGCACTATACTTTAAATATTGGAGGTGTAACAGATGGTTATTGCCCTCCAGTTTCTTGCTTGTGAGTTTCCAGAGTATGCTCTATGAAGCAAATTTTGCACCATATGGGCCTTTTTATAGTCTAGTGAAAAAAATGGGAAAAAAATATTTCTTTTAAAATTGATGGTATACAAATCTTTGACAGAACTACTGGTAGTCCTTGACTTACGACCATTCATTTAGTGACCATACGAAGTTACGATGGCACTGAAAAAAGTGACTTATGACCGATCCTTGCACTTACGACCATTGCAGCATATCTGTGCTCACCTGATCAAAATTTGGGTGCTTGGCAACTGGCGTGTATTTATGACAGTTCTAGTGTCCCAGGGTCATGTGATTGCCATTTGTGACCTTCCCAGCTGGCTTCTGACAAGGAAAATCAATGAGGAACTACATGATTTGATTAACAACCGTGTGATTTGCTTAACGACTGCCACAAAAAATGTCATAACTGCCCTACGAACAGTCACTCATGCCCTCGTTATCTCCCAGATAGACTACTGCAATGCG